CTATGGCGCCACAGGTAAGTCTCCCTGGCCTTCGCCAACCATCTCTCTCTCTCCAACGCTACTCTAGCTCCAACTGCTAACGCTACTACTACTACTGCAGCGCTCCTCCAGAATGCTGCTGCCGGATCCTGAAGACTGCCTCCTGCCTCCTGCACGTGAAGTGCCTGGGAAGTCCCTATGAAGTACCTCCTGACTGCTTGTGAAGTGCCTGGCGGACCAGTACTATATAGTGCTGGTCCGGCAGGGAGGCTGCTCTTGCCAATGCCGAAATGTGCCAGACCCTGGCGTTGAAGTTCAAACAAAGGTTGGTTTGAAACAGGCCCAAAAATGGCCTGTGCTAAAACCCTGGTGTGGTGCCTAAGTTTCAGGGCAGGTCGATCTTATGAGGGCCTGAAAATGGCCCTCCGTTTCAGGCTGAAAAGACTCAGGGCCTGGAGGGCCCTGTTTTAGGCTGAAACGACACAGGGCCGGGAAGGCCCTTACTTTTCCTTGTTCTGCCTGGTCGGGCCTTGCAGGCCCGTGTGGTGCGTAGTATGCCACAGTCACTCTGCTAGGGTCTATGGTCAAAATCGGGCAGCCATGTGTGGTCTGAGGAGGCAGGTCTAGCCTATCAGTCAATGTTGTTGCAGTACCCCCGAGTACCGCTCAAAACCCGTGCAGTCAATCTCCTGGTACTTCTGGGGCAATCAATGTTGGCCGGTACAGGAGTCTATTCTGGTTACCAAGTTTGTGTGTTCTTGTATATGGGACATTGGACCCGTTTTCGAGCATGTGTAGCTCCCCACCAATAGATATAGCAGCCGAAAGATCCTACTAGCGGGGAATGCTTGTATAAACCCCTCTAGTAGGAGGTGCGGGTAATTAAAAAAAAAATAATAATAATAATAAAAAACTTGACATACAATAGGACTTTCCCTACGAATATCAGCAGACTCTGCTGATGTTCGTAGGGGAGGGGACCTGAGGGGAGGCACAGGGATTGGTCCTGTTGGCATGGTCCCTGATGCTACCGGCTGCCCCCTTCCCCTAGCCGGTATCGCCCACCTGCAGGTCGTGAGCAGCCCCCGCATGTTCTCTCGTGAACACGGTTCTGGTCTGCTACGGGGTTCCAAGTATGCCTACAATTAGGAGTAGTGGTAGGTAGGTAGTGTGAGGTGAAATTGAGAGAAGAATACAGCTTTTATAAAAAAAGATAGGACTTTCCCGCAATGTATATAACTGCAACCACGGCTGAATTCAGGCGACAATATTCTGGAATATAATGACTTTAACAAGTAGGGACTACACACAGGCATCACCTTACCTCTCTCGTTGAGCATACCAGACCAAAACATCCACAGCGCCAATACCTCATCCACCCAACCTCAACCCTGGACCGAACTCAAGGTCAATTCCTGATATTGCCCAAGACAGACAAGCACATTCGTATCACATGTCATGGCTGCCGCGCTCCCCTACATCTCTGCGTTACCTCCCTGCCTTTCTCCGTCGCCCCTTTCCTCCCCTCCCCCCATCTCCCCT